AGCCTGTCTGGCTCGTTGTGTCTACCTATGCACAGTTAGTGCCTCTCACACAGCTCTACATTCTTCTCAGATTTGTGAATTCCAGATCTGGGCATCTCTCATATAAAATTTTTTACTCCAATCTTCTCTTTTTTTCAAAGTGGGCATTAACTTTTGCCTATGCCTACTTCCAGTGTGGTGTATATTCCTGAATCATAGAATCATAGAATAGTTAGGGTTGGAAAGGACCTTAGGATCATCTATTTCCAACTCCCCTGCCATGGGCAGGGACACCTCACACTAAAGTCTTTTACAATACATTTGACTTTTCAATTTTCAACATAAATTAGTAAAGGATCATGAGCTCTGAACTTATGCTCCCATCTAAATTTATAGTAACATCCCGATTTCAGTGAGTCTTTAAAATGTTTTTGTTTCTATAAAAATAATCCTGGCTCTACACCCTTTGTAAAACTTGGGAAGTAAAAGTACCTCACTTAAAGGAGCTGAGGACTTCATTGTGGGCATTACTGATTGTGATTGTAAGAGAAGAGACAGCTGTGACTAGGAAGTCTAACCAGCACCTGAATGTGGGGAATTTCTGGATGCTGGAGGAAGGGAGAATCAAAGCTGTATTTCTGAATATCTGGGAGAGGGAAGACATAGGGTATGCCTGGATGGCTAAACAGATAATTTAGGAATTAACCACACTCAGACTAGAGAAGAAAGTTATGTCAGAACTTAATAAAATAAAACAGCAGATTAAGAATTGATAGAAAATGAGAATTTCCCTAGAGCTTCCTATTGACAGCTGCTCCATCTTCCTTTTCTCACCAAGTAAATATAGGGGGGAAAAAAGCATTAATGTGGAAAAGTAGAGAAATGGGATGATCCTTGATACTCTGGTAACAAGACTTCTTAGACCAGTGTAATTTTTCTATTCTCTCTTGACATTTTAAATAAGATTTATGTGATGGTAGATGTTTCAAATTTTAAATAATGACCCACATAGTGTAGTATGTCAAAAGAGCATTTCTCTGTTCACATTCTTCTGAATGAGAAATGTGCTAGACAGTATGTACCACTAAATGTTAATAGGTCTAAAACTATACAAATTTTAAATTTATGGAATTGTGTTAATAATGAATTCTTAAACGATTCACAGAATGTTGAAATAGTTGTAACCTGATCAGAATTAAAGGTGAACTGACAGGCAGAAAATGCCACAGTCAGATGACCTTGATAAGGAGAAGGAGCCAATCTCTACCTGAAGAGTAGTCTGGTTTGAAGCACTTTCTTAGATTAAAGGTGAGAGCAGTAGTTGAGAGTACGTGGTGATGCTTATAGTGTCTCCCTCATGTGATTACCTAAAAAGGTTACACTTGCATTTAAAAAACAAAATGTAAATTTGTAACTCTAATAGCTGCAAAGAGGAGCATGGGGATGCAAAGGTAATAAATGCTTAAGTACAGAAGAAACTTAAGCAAGTGTTTGAGGTATCAGCTGCTAATTGTAGGTCAGGATGGGGCTGCCTCGAAGGCTTGGGAAGAAAAGTGTGGAGATGTGCTATGGTAACCAACCTGGTCCACCTTGTCCCAGGCAGAGTATGAAATGTGTACTGCTTCTCTGGAAACACAAATGGTTGGGGTCAGAAGGAGATGTGACTTCTCTTAATTCAAGCCTGGATGTGTCCTTTTTCCAAAGGCTTGCAAATAAAAAAAACCAAAACAACAACAACAGCAAAAAAAAAAAACAAAAAAAAAACAACAAAAAACAAACAATAAAAATACCCCCCACACACACACAAACCACAAACAAACACAAAATACACACACAAACCAAAACCAAAACCAAACTAACAAGCAAACAAAAAAAAAAACAAACACCAGTAACTCAGAAAACAGAAAATATACTAGATGCCTTTTCTGTGTTTCAGAATGTTGATATCTCACCCCGGGTTTAAGAGACTGTTGAGTGCCTTCTCTGTTCGTGAACTGCTGTTTTTACTAGGTTATACAGTCATTTTATTATTTCCAGAATGAACATGATCCTCTTCGACTACAGACATCTACAAGTTCACTATAAAATGCAATTCAAGCGAGAGAAGAAATCAGAATTTGCTGTGCCTTAAGAGCACCATGGTGGCATTGGCAAGCATCATAACCAGTCTCTGGATCATGATTCTTATTTATGAGCTTAGTGCAAGAGGCACAAAATATCTGAAGCATCAGGCAAAACAAAGGCTGTGGTGTTCTCATGGGGGGAACTCCTGCAACACACATATGGAAAGTATCCTGACGTTGAGCTGGATGAGGGATGTTAAAAAACTGTAATGGAAATTTGCTCTCTGTCACCCTTGTTCTAATCTTTCCCAGATAGAGGACAACAGAGAAATCTATCTTCTTGAGGTCTAATCCATCCCTGCATTATTCTGTGCTTTCAGTGGTGTAACTCCATCAATACAAACAGACCTACTGCCCTACACAGCTGGAGCAAAGCAGCAGCTTCTCAATCTCTTATCTACACCTCTGAAAAATAAACCAAATTGTTCCAGTGCTGCACATTTCCCCATTAATATAGGCAGAAATACTGCCATGTAGTGAAAATGTATTCTTGTACTGTTGTATAACCTTGAGCATTTTGCCTTGTCATTTATTTGTTATTTTCATCCAGTCCAGTATGTAATCATACAGTGGCATCACAGAGAAAACCAGGTTTGTGCAATCACAGTTCTGCATTGATAATGGGTTATGCATTTGAAGATATCGATTGACTGCAAGGAAAATAAATTGAAGTAATACAGAATTTAAGAAAGCTACTGACTACAGACAACTGAGTCTGCAGTCTTTTGGTATGATTCTTTGGTTTAGCTTATTTAGATATCTGGAAGACTGCAGACAGAAATTTTCAGGTATTCCAGAAAAAATCTATCATATTCTAATCCTAAAAATTGCACAGTGTCACTGTAAGTAAAAGCTTGAAATAATTAAAGCTGAGAGGACACTAGTTACCACATTTGAATGATGCTAAGATCTTACGAAGTTTGGTGACCTCTGCAGAATGGATGAGGGACCTTGTGCAATATATATCATAATGAGCAACCAAAATGTATCACTACTCTTCATTGGTAGTATTATTTAAGATGGTAAAAATTGCATTATTATAGATACACGCCAACACTATGCTCCTCCTTATGGGGAAGGCTGAAACTTGTTTGCAGGATGGGTATATCACTATATCATCTCATTGAGAAATAACATATCTCCCTTCTGCAAATAGTCAGTCTGATCCCCTAACTATTTAGTAAAATTTAGTTATGAGGGAAACCCATTTAATTGTGATGCAGTGGAAAGAGCTTAAAGTTATAATCAGGTCTTATTTCGGAAATTTGTCAGAGAGGTCATTCAGCCCTTCAGTGTCATTCCTGTTGAATTCTGGTCTCTGGATCAAATTTTCTAAAGGCAGTAAGGATCATCTATTACTGATAATTTTATACAGGGATATTTCTTTCATCTTTCATTAATTTTTAAAAATTATTTGACTGCTCTTATCCTCTCATACTCTTTTTGCTTATGTCCTCACTGCTTCATCATCTCTTTTTTTTCATTCCGTGTACCCCATCATTCATCAGCCTTACTTTGGACAATAAAATCCATGTATTTACCGACTGATGTCCATTGCTTGATCAAATACCATTGTAAAACTCCAAAACATAAGGCTTCGGGGCAAAAAACGCTCACCAGCCACCAAGAGAATGACAACAACTTTGGATGCCAAGACTTTATTTGACCTATTCAACTTTCATTTTGACCATTGCCAAGCATCTTCATCTCTTTCCTTGCTAACTGTGGCTAATTTCTGCATCTGTAAGAGTTTTAAGAAAGTGATTAATATTTATATTTTTTTTAAAAAAGAGGTACATTACATGGGGTTAACCCTAGAACCAAGTGAGGTTTTTTTGTTCAGGATGCAATATATTCCATTTCCTATGGAATGAGTGTGCCAGAACTGGTTAAAAATAGCTTCTCCCATTCATTAGAGTCAGCAGATGGCCATTAATCTTCCTGAAAGTATTGATTCAAACTACTCGTCTCCACTTTCAAGGCCCTTCACAGACTAGCCTCTCCCCATCTATCACCCCTCTTTACACAACTGAAAAGGTGGACTGGCTTTGTAACAAGTGGGTGACAGGTACAAACCAACACTCTCCTACATGCTGTCCCTCACATCTGGAGGGAGTGGTACACAGCATTAGCAAAGCTTTTTCATTTGTCTCTTTTAAATGCTTTCCTAAAACTTTCCTTTGACATAAGGGCTACAAAAGCATTACACAGTTACACACTGGTTAGAGCCTCTTTAGGACACAACCCTTCCAAGGACCATCTTTACATTGTTTAAGTCTCAAGCTCTGGTATCTATCTGTCCCAAACTGCCATGTCTCATCTTACTCCTAGACTGCAAAAGCTTGAATGCAAAGTATCTCCATCATGTACAGTCCAGCGGAACATTTCCCAGCAAGCTATCGCAATATGGACAGTTAATAAGAACCAAATATTAACTTAGGCAGTCAAGACTGCAGGGTGCATAGTGCCAAAATCTCATGGACTAATGTAAGGCAAAATTAGTAAACCAGCATGGCAAGTGTTTTTGCCTGTCTGCAATTTAACCGCTGCAATGTAAGCCCAGTGCTGAACCTCAGAGTAACGTGCAGAACCTCCACTGAGACTTGCTACCTTAGTCTCAATGTTAAGCCAGCATAAACATATTTCATGAAGTTCATGAACTGCCACCTTGTAATTCAGTACTGCAGTTCCCTGTGCATCCAGTGCTGGTGCTACCCTTAGCAGATAACACCATGTCATTCCTATGTCAGCCATCACAAATGTGCCCTTAGCATATATGACAGATTAAGTCTTGCTTATGGAATTGATGTTGTTTGCTCATAAGCTAAAGGTTCACTATGGTTCCTTCAAATTCTAGACCAGCACATTTAGCTAATATTTATCTTCCTTCTGCCTTAGTTTCAAGATCTTCGCAAAGCCATGTGGATTTTGCTGGAAGAAATATTGAAGATGCTAAAGGCTCTCACCAGGAAGACATTTTAAAGACATCAAGACACATACATGCCTTTCTTTCCCAAACCCAAATTCCAAGACAAGAAAGCACACACTTTCTGGAAAGAAACTCCACAGTTGTTAACACTCCCTCTCTTACAGTGAAAAGGAAGACTTCCCAAGCTCACACGCTGTCACCAGCAAAAACTGGTATGGAGTCCAGAGCACCTGAGAAACAGTCTTTTCTTGAAAAAAGAAATAATACCCACACTTTCTTTCTGCACGAGGGGCCAGACCCCAGTGCAACAACTGTCAGTGTGACAACCCATACCCCTCTTCATTTTAAGCAATACAAACCAGGTATAACGCAGACTGTTCTTTCTCATCACAACACAAATGCAAGTTCATTCTTTGCAAGGCCACATGCTGTTCAGCAGCCTCGTTCCATGTACAGGTATTCTGCCAGGAGATGGCCTGGTCGAGTCACAGTCTTGAAGACTAAACCATCCCAAGACTTACCGACACAGCAGCAGAGAGCACCTCCTTTGGCAACACACTTCACCTTTCCATTTAATAGATTCTTCCCTTGATACAGCTCCCCTGACTGCTAGCATCCCAGCAGGGTCAGCTCCCCAAGCAGGGCTTCCAGAACAGACCATGGTAGCCAGAAAGGTGTACAACACAGTGATGGATCATGTGAAACTGCCAAAACCCAGTGGTGGGAGGCATCAGAAAGTTGTTTGTGCTAATACACTATGCTTTACTGGTGTGCAGTGCGAGCCAGATGAAGATGGAGGATTTAAATGTGGGCCTTGTCCCACTGGATACAGCGGTGATGGAATTACATGTGAAGGTAAGGGGGAGAATCCTCTTTCTTTTATAACTTCAAATCTAGTGAGTCTCCAAAGTAAAAATGTATTTTGATTATAAATTTGGAGATTTTTCTAGCTGGGAACATTCTGACTTTCAAAGCCAATCATATTTCAAAATGATAGACAAACATTCTATAACTTTGAAAAAGCTCTTTCTGCTTAGAGAAATTACATTTATTTGATAATATCTAATCTATTGAAACCAGGTACAGATTGTGATCTTGCTTACCCTTGCTTAAGGCCAGATTCATTCTACTGAAGTCATTACATTTAAAAATACATAAAAATGCTGCGGAAAGAGTAAAATTGACTCAATTTCTCTATACAACACATTCTAGAAAAAACCTAATTGTTCTACTACCTTAAAAATGACTTTTAAATATCTAATATTTTTAATACAAAACTGAACTTGTCATCTGAAATGTATAGAACCCGAAGGGTTTTCACAATATATTGAGTTATTTATTAGACAGCTCAGAATGCCTCTGTAAAACAGTAGTATTATGCACATTTTTGAAACAATGAATTCCCTAACTTAGCTATCATTTATTACACCTTTTGTTGAAATCTCTCTGATAAACTGATCTCTTAATTGGCCTTTCACTACAGAAAGCAAAATTATTTGTATAATCTATTTCATTCTCTTTCACATATGGTTCCTCAAGCTCTGTGCACAGAGAAGGCAGGTGTAGAGGGGGGTCTCAGCTGTGATGCACTGTGGAGGACCTTGCAGGGATTCCTTGCTGTAAGCAAGGCTTCATGGGGGTGCAAAGCCCCCAGCAATACTGCCGCCTTCTGAGGCTGGAGATATATCAGAAAATGCATAAGAAAAAGTTACTGTAATCTTGGGTACTATAATTTTTGCCTACTTCCACATTTCTGAAATGCCCCTGTTAAAGGACTGAAGGTTACTTGGCACAAAAAGACACTGTCTCTGACCTCTGCATTATACCCAGGGCTGGAAGAGTACCAGGTAGCTCCCAATACTAGGAAGCCCAAAAGCAAATCTGACCACAGAATGGCCCCCACTCAAAAAACAGGCCCATGGACATATGAATATTTACAAATATGGGCATATGGCTGCTTTGTGTATATTTAGTATATACTATCAGTATAGTCCTTAAAACATAAACCTACCTCTGCCTTTTACTGTCTCACAAGATGAGATATTTTCTTCACTTACTGGTATTACTGAAAGTCTCCCTGGAGAGTCCTTAGGATGAAATACATCATTACCAACACCCTTCTCTGTCTCAGGGCTTGATAACATGATGCACAAACATCATTATTTGTTTCTCATCACTGACCGTGTCACCTGAGTCAGGAATTAACCTGTCTGCTTCCTGCTGCTTCTTTACTCCGAGCCCTTCTGTGCACCTGCAAGCAGTACCCTGGAGCATGGCCAGCAGTATGAACAGCACCCACTGTACCTCCAGTCGTTGATGTCTCTTCCCATATCAGATGTAGCTTAGCCATCATGAGAGCCGAAATTGAAAGATAAGGATAATCCCTTAGATTAAGGCCTGCCATAACCTCAGCTATCAGCACCTTAGAATGCTGCCACGACTGTACCAACTTCCTTGAAAATAGTAGTACCATCTAAGAACAGGAGCAGCAAAACTGAACAAGTGATCAAAGCTCAGATGAGACCAACATCTGCAAAACCTTCAGGCTTCAATGCAATATCTGTGGCAAGTGAGCAAAAGTTTTGACAGACTCAGACACGATAGTTGTCACCATCCTATTTGATATCAAAATTCACCAGGATTAAAAAGTAGCAAGTTTTAATACCTGTGGATCTTGAGGAGATGTGACCTTTGTTTAGCAAGAGTGTCTGAAAATACTCTTAAGATAATAAATACTTTACCAAGTGATATTATGTTGTGACAGAATCTAATTTTTTTTTTTTTTCAGGTGTGCAGATTTAAAATCAGGCTTGGAGGACTGGTAGGGAAAAAATAAGCAACATCCTGAAAATTAATTTCTCTTCTAAAGTAAATCCTACCACATTTTATATCTGTAATATTATCATCCCTTTGGACAAGAACCTCAGTCTCCCTGTTAGGTTTTAGTTGGAAGTCCTCTCCCTCTACTTTGTCTTCCTGCTTTGGGAATCACAGATTCACAGGAGTGCAGGCCAGAAGAGACTACTGGGGATCACCAGGTCTAACCCCCTACCTTCTTTTGGAAGAGCATAGCTAGATGTCAGTGTGTTTGCCTTATATTCAGGCATCTAAATTGAGACAAGTTCAGATGCTCATAGCAATTTTCATTTAGATCACTCCCTGCACTACTGACAACTTTGTCATCTGTAAAATGTAGGACCTTGCTTTTGCCCATCTTGCTTTGGTGTAATAAATATTACAGATTCCTAATTATTTTAGTGCAGATGAGGTAAGATGAACTAGCTCCTCAAGGCTCTACTCATCACTCCCATGCCCTTTCCTACACCTGGCCAGACTCCCAGCTTGTAGAGCTCTTTCACCTTCATTCACAAAGGCAGTATCACCATTTATTAGTGGCCTAATGTTAATACTACTCCGCTAAGCAGGCAAGGCCTTGAAAAACTTGATTTCAGAGCAGCATTTTGGAGATATCTGGCATCACCTACACAATAATAAAAAATAAGTAGGGGTGATAAGGCCTGCTTTAGTCCACTGACTTCTCTTGCATGTTCTCTTGCAGAAGACGCTCACTGGCATTTATGGGGTAATTAACCAAGAGTTCCTCTAGGAATGAGAGAAGTTATTAAATACCTGATTTCCACTCTCAGCACAATTTTAAGTATATCTACCATATATAGCCAATGCATTGCTATAGCATACTCCTAGCAGTTTTACAGGACAGAAAATATCAATCCCCTGTCAAAACGCACTGCAGAAGTGTCAGAACACTCAAGGATCTTTAAATGTTCCAGCTCAGTATGCCAAGCAAATAAAAATCTACTACTTTAATAATGTGTAACTAGCTCAAACAGGATTGTTTTCAGAACGCTTCTGCTATTTTGTCTACAAGGGCTTAGTAAAATTTGAGGCTAACGCTCTGAAATATTCATTAGCACTGTTAGTCACCTTGGGCTCATCGTCCTGCTTTTGTTACACACTGTACAACAGGAACACAGACAGGCCTTCACTTTCAAAGATGCTGTATCTACTGGACAAGGAAACAAATGCTGTCTTTTCCCTAGGCTCAGTTATTCACCAGGGTCTGTGTGTATGGACCTGTCTGAGAGCAGCTGCTCTACTTCTTGAGCTCCTTGGAGTGCCCTAAGGTGGAACATGTCCTTTCCATTCAATACCAGGGTTGAAGTTTAAAAAAGGATCTGCTCTGGACATCCTTGTTGTACTTGCTTCTAAGAGACCTTGACCTGAAGACTAAAGAAAGATAAGAATTTAACCCAAATATCTGGTCATTATCGTTCCTATCTCTATCCCCAAGTTGATAGGGCGTGTCTTGTTACTCAAACTGTACAATTAAAAAGTTAAAGACTAAGTTCTGTAGAATAAAGACATTTATTTAAAATTATTTTGGATTAGGTGACAGTTGAGGACTAGCATTTTTTTTTAATTTTTAGTAGTCATAAAAGTTCCTCAGGATTCTATGGAATATAAAGTCATGCTACTTTAGAAATATTTTCTTAAAAATGTGAAGTCAGTAAAACTCTGGGATATTTTATCAGCTTTGCACAGTATTTCCTAAGGAAAGAGGACATCTAGTAGTAGTTACGTTTTCTGCCCAAGAGTTAAAAACACAACATTGCCTTGACATTACAAAACCACTGTTCAAACCTAATAATTTTTAAAATAACAGGAAAGATGGAGTAGGTGGGAAAGTATTATGACCTCAGGATTATCACCTGGATGAAGCAAGGCAAAAAAATTCAGGTAGCCGACAGTCATCTGTTCTAAAATTTTACTGCACAAAGGCACTACTGTGTCAGACCAAAATTCCTTCCCCTATCTCCAATAGCTATCAACAGCAGATGTCTGTAAGTACATGGGAAAGATACAGGGATACTGTTCAGAACAGTCCCTCAGCGAGTCATGGATCACTTGCTTCAAAAAGTCAAGCACCCTGTTCAGCCTTTCCAGGCCATGTCTGATTTTGCAGTTTTCTATTCTGTCCCTCCAAGTCATGTCTTTCCCAAAGACCTAATACATTCACTTGTTCTTCACACAAAAGCTCTACTGTACCTTTGTTTATCCCTGTCACCTTTTTCAACATCTTCTCCACTTTTACTGTATCTTTCCTGAGCTGGGTGATCAGACCTGAACATGGCATTTAAGATGCAGCTCAGTACAGATACAGACCATAATAAAGTCTGGCATTTTGTGCTCTGCTCATTTCTTAACAATTCCTAACACTTTATTTGCTTTTTTGACTGCAGATGAGCATTCAGGTGACATTTCACAAAAAGAAAATCCATTAGGACAACCTAATCAGAACTGTTGTCTGCATTTGTATTCCAATTTTTTCAGTGACGTTAATCTTGTTAATTTCCTGTTAGCTATGAGGGGACCCAGGGACCAACCACAGGCCAGCCAAGCTCACCTTGGTGCCCGGCAAGATCATGGAGCAGATCCTCCCAGAAACTATGCTAAAGCACATGGAAAATAAAGAGGTGGCTGGTGACAGTCAATGTGGCTTCACTAAGGGAAAATCATGACTGACAAATCTGGTGGCCTTCTACAATGGGGTTACAGCACTGGTGGAAAAAGGAAAGAGTAACTGATGTTACCCGGACTTAGGCAAATCATTCGACATTGTCCTTCAAGACATCACTGTCTCTAAACTGGAGAAGCATGGATTTCATGGATGAATAACTTGGTGGATAAGGAATTGCCTGGACAGTCATGCTCAGAGAGTTGCAGTCAAAGGCCCGATGTTCAAGTAGAGACCAGTGACAAGTGGTGGTCCTCAGGGGTATTGGGACTGATCCTGCTCAAAATCTTTGTCGGAGACATGGACAGTGGGATTGAGTGCACCCTCAGCAAGTTTGCCAATGATACCAAGCTATGTGGGGTAGCTGACCTGCTGTAGGGAAGAGATGCCACCCAAAGGGGCCTTGGCAGGCTGGAGAGGTGGGCCTGTGTGAACCACATGAAGTTCAACAAGACCAAGTGCAAGATTGCTGCACATGGGTCAGGGCAATCCCAAGCACAAATACAGGCAGGTCAGAGAATGGACTGAGAGCAACCTTGAGGAGAAGGATGTGGAGGTGCTGGTTGACAAGAAGTTCAACATGAGCCAGCAACATGCACTTGCAGCCCAGAAGCCAACCATATCCTGGACTGCATCAAAAGGAACATGACCAGAAGGTTGAGAGGGGATTCTCCCTCTCTACTCTGCTATCATCAGACCCCACTTGGAGTACTGTGTGCAGTTCTGGGGCCCCCAACATAAGAAGGATGTAGACCTGTTGGAGCAAGTCCAGAGAAGCGCATGAAGATGGTCAGAAGGCTGGAGTACCTCTCCTGTGAAGACAGTCTGAGAGAGTTGTGGTTGTTCATCCTGGATAAGAGAAGGCTCTGGGGAGGACCTAGAGCAGCTTTCCAATACCTAAAGGGACTGATAAGAAAGCTGGAGAGTGACTTTTTACAAGGACATGTAGTGACAGGACAAGGGGTAGTGGCTTTAAGCTGAGAGAGAGTAGATTTAGATTAGATATTAGGAAGAAGTTCTTTCCTGTGGGGGTGGTGAGGCACTGGCACAGGTTGCCCAGAAAAACTGTGGGTGCCCCATCCCTGGCAGTGTTCAAGGCCAGGTTGGATGGGGCTTTGAGCAACCTGGTCTGGTGGAAGGTGTCCCCACTTGTGGCAGGGGGGTGGAACTGGATGATTTTTAAGGTCCTTTCCAACCCAAGCTGTTCTGTGATTCTATGAGTGTTTGGATATTTATTTCACAAGTGGGCTCCAAACTAATGGACTATTTAAATACTCATACAAGTTACTTTAATTGCACTAATACATGCTTTAACCCTATGCTTTATTTCCTTTATCTGTGTATCTTACATAAACCAATAATGCGGTAACTTTCTTTTCCATTTTTCCCCTCCCTTACACTGTACATGTTCAAGCTTCTTCTATACATTTAGGAAATTAGATTAATACATCTTTGAAAGAAAATAAATAACGTACAATGATTGCATGAAACAAGGTAGACTATGCTACTTCCAGTGAAGTCTGTCCTGACCTGACTGGTTTTCAGAAGTTATGCTCTCACGCCTCTTAGCCTTGCTTTAGTACACCCAGGACTTCAAATGCCAGACGGCACAGCAAGTTTACTCAACTGTTGGAAATGCTAAGCAATAGCTCTTTTGTGGATGACATTTGCTGATTAGGCTATCAAAAATGGAAGAAACAACATAGCGTCTTCTATTGCTGAGTACTCCCAAAGTTATCATAGAAAAACTTACAAACTGTACAGAAACTTACAAAATGTGCATGATCTCATTTTAATGGAAAAAAAGAAATTCTGGGATATTTCCCAAAAAGCCCTTTCAAAGAAAACAGTAATGGACTTCTCCATTTTCACCTCCAGATTTTAAATTATAAACATAAACATACATATATTTGACAGCAAGATTGACCATTTGCAGCAATGGTTTCCTCTTTACTGTTATTTTATACCATCCAAAACCGCTTAGTATAAAAACACTGCAATACCTTTGTACAATTTAACAAGTGTTTATGGAAAAAAAAATATTTATTCCAGAAGATGAAAGATAGAAGTTTTGGAAAGGAATTGGATGCAAACAGTATCTTTCTATCATGGAGGGAAATATATTTTGGGTGAATACTGCTCTTGCTCTCACACTGCAGTCAGTGTTGTTTTTATCTTTTGCTATTCACCAGTAATACAACAGTTTTAAACACTTTACTATTAAATGTCACCATAGGAGCTAAATGTTTTAATATCCAAAATACCATGTTCTTTTCTGACAGTTCAGATGCATCTCAAAACGTGTAAAGGCCAGATGGAAAGTATTCTATTCAAATGAACATACTCGCTTTAAGTGCTACATACAAAACATGCTGAAATAAAGCATACTATGTTTGAATGTCACTGGGCTTGGCATAGCACTTAGGCACCTGGAGGCTTTATGCAACCATCATCCTACAGGAAATGCAATCACATTTCACATACTTTAAAAAGAGCATTACATTTTTCACAGGTTTTGTGTTTCCCTGTCTCCATGCAGAGAATATTAACCAAGTCTACCTACCATTTATTTTTAATTGCAAAGAAATCTCTTTATAAACAAGCCCTGGGCTTATGCAAGCCCAGCAGAATGGAGATGTTTCAGATGGACATATGTGAGCAGACAGGTCGGCATCCTCCTCTCAAAGCCCTCAACCAGTCACTGACTTCAGTGAGATTTATGACAAACCCCTGAATGTGAGTGATGGCTTATAAATGTAGTACTGCAATTTTAAAGAAATAACAAATGTATTGAAAACAGCATCAATTTCTTTCCTTTTCTTCCACTTTCCATTTCATTACAGACTGCTACCTACTCTTTGCCCTAATAGCACAAGACCCCAAGCTACGTGAGCCTCTGACCTGCTCCAACAGCTGCTACCAGTGGCTGAATTAGAAAAACTTCAGGGAAGTTTAACCCTAACTACTTAAATGGATCTAAAACTTAGTTGTACAGACAATGTCATTCTTTTTACTTCTATTTTCTCACAGATGTACACTTCAAATTTCAGCTAAACCTATGCTGAACTGCAAATGTCTAAACCTCCTTGCCCACCAAATCAAAACTAAATTTAGCTTAATGACATTCTCAGCATGTATATTATGGATCTAAACTATATCTAGTGAGTTTTCTGTTCTCAAGCATGACAAATCCTAAAGATATTTTAATGCAACATTGAAAATTTCACAGTTAAAACTGTATGGTAATAGGAAATGTAAATACTGAGGTATCTGAAGAGCAGATCTAATACTAAATATTTTTCTTTAATGTTATTTGTGTCAAAATGATTTATTTTCAATTACCTTCTTGAAGCTTGTCTTTTCAACTGCAATTGGATAATGTGTAGTGACTTACATTACGTTTTTGGATGGCAAAGTTCATATTCAATGGCTTTATCTGAAGCTTAGTGATAATAACAAGGAGGCCTTCAACACATAATGTTCATTTAAATTATGTGATGCTACACGTATTTGTCCTTCATGTAGCCTTCCAATTACACAGTCCATTTTCCAGTTTTAAGAACAAAATGTGGTACACTAGGTTTTGTTGTGCTTTTTTTTTTCCACAGTAACAATACTTGAAAGATGCTTTGTTTCAGACTTCCTTAGCTTCATTTGTATTTTCCTTGGAATAACCTTGCTTAGCTTCATATCCATTATACAAGACAAAACCCTGCCAGTGAAGTGTGCCAAAGTACAAGATTTTTCACTGTATTCACTTCCCAAGAGCAAGGAAAGACATTTTTCATTCTATTATGTGAGGTGGCTTTTTTTTACAAAAGCATGAGAGCCAGCTGACACACATGACTTGCTCTGCTCCTGCACACAGCACTTCTTCAAGTGTCAGTGGCCATATTCTACCTCGAGTGGCCTTCTCTTCTCCTCCATTTGGCACACAAAACTACTTCTTATTAAAAGGCTACAAAAAGAAACGTTCATGACACCAGATGTCAGTTAGCTACGTTAGATGTTAGGTTTATCTGGCTAAACCTTCCAGGCCCCTTGCACAATAACGCCATTAGGCTCATAACGATCAACATTTAAGAAACAAACCAGTGTCTTCAGTAAATAGCCTGTTTCAGGATTTGCAGTACTTTCCAGCTTTATGCAGTACACCTGCTCATCCTCTTTCTTCTACAGAATGATGTTGCACATTGCAGTATGTCAAGAAATCATTATCTAACTTGATGCTTTGTCTGCAGGTCTCACACTACTTATTAAACATTAAAATCATTACTTAAACATTTGTCATTTTGCTGAAAAATTCCCATGCAGTTCTTTTCTATACAGAATAAACACTTCATCTCTGCTTTAGTGACTTCTAACACCTGTTAAGCTTTACTGAACATCCACATGGCGAATTTGCAGAGAGGATTGATCAAGGTTTTATTATTGACTACATTTGTACTTGATCCACTCTTAGACTTCAAAAATACATACTTAAAAATGTGCATGCTCAGAAGTGAAATATGGTTATGTTAAAGTCATTCCCTTGCAGACATTATATAGCTGCTCATTAGGGCTGCATTACTAATATAATACTTTTATCCTGCAGTGTTTTCCTCAGTAGCCACATTACTTGTTGGATTAATAAAATGGTATGGGAAAAGTAATAACAAGTGCTGTGCTCATAACCACACAAAATGTAATATTTCAACTGTATCTTCTTTCTCATCTTTTATTCTTGCAGTGCAGTGTGATCCACCATGTGAGAATCAAGGAACTTGTGTATCCCAAAATACTTGTTCTTGTGCTTATGGATTTGTTGGTCCTCGATGTGAAACAAGTATGTATAAACTCATTCAGGCTTTTCTCCTCATTACATGTTTGAATCTGCAGAAAATTAGAAGACAAAGAAAGCTTTTTTATTTTTCTATATTTCCCTTAAAATGATGATTGCATACAGCAAGAAAATAAAAGTATAATATGTTGAAGTAATGCAGTACCTAAATTATTTCAGAGTATATATTTACCAGCAGCATAGTTGGATTATGTAAAAATATGCACATCTATATCAACATTTTCTACAGGAAAAATGCTTCTGGAAGAACAAACAAACAATCAAAAATGTCCATGTTATTTAAAGTAACATTTATGAAATTCAAGGTTGTGTGAGTGAATGCAGTAATACTAATTTTGAGAACACAAAAAGACAACCATACCTATTGGGAGTCACATTTTTGTGCAATACAAGTTGCAAGAGAGACTTAATATATAGAAGATCTGGGGGGGGGAAGGGGGAATCCTTCAGATCCTTCTATAGTAGCTGAATGTTGAAACATAAGCAGTTTCATTATTGCAGTCCTCGCTGCTTATTTAAATACCGGGTTGCCCTTGACAGGAATATAATTTTATCTCTGAATCAGAGCATCTGGAATACTTAAAAAGTAAAGAATTTTAGATGCAAGGTTTCTATTAAAGAAAGAAAACCAAGGAAAAGGACAGATTCATCCCTCAGGTTGGACAAATACAATCAGGTATTTGCTGTAGTAGAACAACTTGAGGATCTGCACTGGTGTTACTGATAAGAGATTTTGATCCTTTGTGTATTTTCCAGTGGTGTGTAACAGACACTGTCACAACGGTGGGGTCTGTGTGTCACCAGATGAGTGCAAATGCAGAAACGGATGGAGCAGCCCTTCTTGTGAAACAGGCAAGTCCTTAGAAATGACTGGTCTCTCATGTACTTTGCCCCTGAAATCCACATGATTCCCACAATTCAGTGGTCAGATTGGGAATTGTTTAAAGAATTAAGACATAAGGAGACCAGTTTAAAATTGGACAAGAATATAAGGAAGCAAACATGACTTCTGCTGCTAAGTTAGCAGCTACATATGCAGTTCTAACTCTGCAAAGTCAAAGGAAGAGAAGTGAAACTAGAAATGGACTTAGAAACTGAGACTGAATACAGTGATTGTTGTGGTCCAGTTCTTGGATTTATTTTTGCCATTCTAGAAGATGGCTTGTGACTGTACAAGACAGAACAAAAGCCAGTTTGAAAAGAGAAGTAACCATTTGCCCCTAATCTCAAACATTCTGCTGCCACCAGAGTTCACACTGCTCCTCCTGCCTGTGTCTCATACTTGTAGAGTGCCTACAAAAGGCATCCACGGAAGTGTGTGTGCTCAGAGAACAGCCTCCTTCACACATCAGTACAAAATGTCAAGGATTGGATCTAGGCACCTATTTCTAGTCAGGACTCAAATTTTTGAACCCTATTTTGAATGGATACTGCTCAAAACTTCCTCACAAGGTCTAAGTGCTAAACAGTGGAGCACATATTTTTCTTCCAAAGGCACAGTAACTTCAGCACTCACCTGGGATAAGGCAAGCAAAATAGTGAAATACTAAAAGGAGCAAGAATGAGCTTAATCAGTTTCAAACCTCAAGGCTACAGAGGCACTCTGCCTCTGCAATAGCGAATATTAAATGACTAAGACATCTTCAGCCTACATTACCTTTCCTGGAAGGTAAGAGATGTCATTTTAACCTTCATCTCCCAGAGATTGCTCTTCATGTAGATGTTGAAATGACAGACCTATTGAGGACACATAAATTAACTTAAGATCCATGATAAATGACTGGTATTGCCACTAGCTATTCTGGTTCCCACCATCTTCTCTTTTTCCTTATGGAGATTACACTACTTTCCTTGAGTTCTGCAAATTTATTTTGGGGTGGTTCTAAACAGGATTATTCCAAGAGCAGGACAAGCAAGAGCAGCAGAAGCAGTAAAGCAGTAATTTCCAACCCAGAATAACAGCAGCAGGATTTGTCTGCCTGGCAGTACCTTAGGTGAAAGACTATCAGGCTCACCTCTCTGACACTGTTTTGTGTGCACTACACGGAATATTTTGTGGATACTGTTGAGGTTTTCTGCCTCAATGTTAAGATAGGAGTCTCTGGATGAACATATATAGTAACAAAAAAAATAATAGAAAAAGGAACTTAGGGGACCTTACCAATGGAAACATGAAAACTGGCAGAGTATGGATATCTGTGAACTAGCTAGGACAATGAGGCAACTAATCCAAATTCACCATTAGCAATGCATGAAGTCAATTTTGACTTCGTAAGTGATTGCTGCTTAGTCAGAAAAGCCTCTCATCTAGACTACAATTTCACTTTTTTCTTTCAAAATTGACATTTTATTTCTGTTTTAGTTCATATAAAACATTTTAGTGACCCTTAATTTATTTAATCTTAAATGTATTTAACTTATTTAATGGGCTATTCTGTCAGATACTGAAAGACAAAGGGAATAGAGGGAAAAAGACTGTTTTAAAGTGTCACTCTGCTTTAAAATGAAAACATTATCAGATTCTTTATTCTTCACACACTGACTTTCCAACTAAACTAATTTGCAATTCTAATACTTCTTTATTTCAACAGGCAGGTACTTGCTACATAGAAATATGCACGACAGCTTTTAATTCCTAACGCCTGTTATATCTTCTCCAGCAATAACAGATAAATAAAGAGGCAAAGGAAGCTCAGTCAGTGGCTTTGTTGGTGATGCATGAGCCAATATGCTGGGGAACTGGCATTTCAATGAGGCAGAACAAACAGAGTCTTTGCGGGGCATACCTATTAAACTTCACGGAAATGCCACGATGCTCTGCTGAATTCAGACAAAGCAGCAAATGGTTAATAGCTCATCTCCACCTTATCCAGGCTGTATGCAACCTGGCTACATTTTACTACCTTGGAATCATGTTTGGTGAGGATACTAGAGTGGAAGCAAATGAAGTGTGCAAATCAAAGTAAGATATCAGAAATAAACTATTATGTTATTTTTCATCCCCAAAGCTATGCTAAAACACTACTGAAATCCTCCCACTGTGCTGACAATGAATAAATGCCGCAGCACAACTGACCAGCAAAGATTGTGTGAAATTTATCACAATATTATTACAAATGTTTATTCTAATGTCATGTGCAAAAGCAAAAGTGTGCCTACTTTAAAAAATTCAAAATCCTACGAGATTCACAAAACTATCATCTTGTATTCACATACAGCTGTGTGCAATCCTGTATGCTTGAATGGAGGAATCTGTGTACATCCAAATATGTGTACGTGTCCTTACGGTTTCTATGGGCCACAGTGCCAGAGAGGTAAGAAAGTTCTATTTATCATCTTGATAAAGGATCCAAGCTTAAAATATAAACAGCAGCCTATATCATTACCTGCTCCCACATGAAGTATATCCAGAGACTTTTCTTGTCATAACTCCCTTTGTGTTCATTTGATGTTATAGTCTGTCACAAGTCCACATTATGTTGTTCTTAATGGTATTCTGAAGGAATAAGCTCTTATTTATGATGGCATTAATGATAACTAAATAATTATTCTAAAACTGTCTGAAGTTAGTGATATCACTAATTAACAACTGTTCAATTAAATGTTAAAGCTTGGCTCTACTTTATTCATTTTGCATACTCTACAATGTGTACTATACTGTGTTCAGAGTCAGATGATAATTTATCTTCAAATGTACTATCTACATGACCCCCCTTGACTGTAGTGGATGGGAGACTTGTGTAGAACTTCAGACCCTTTCTCAATGATCTGATCAAATATTGCTCTGCCTGACATAGAGCAAGGACCTGATTTTGAATCTCTGTTTTTGGTTTTCTTGCTCACTTTGTGCTGCAGAAGTCAAAATAATGAATACTTTAGCTACCCATTTGCTCAGGCAGGATACACATGAGAGGCAAATTTATGTTTCGGGCTCAAATAGCTGTGATTATACTACTGTTTTTCAATTTTTTGAGCATAGCTCTAATAGCCCCTCCTGAATCTGGAAGTATAAATGCACTCTTATTACCAAACCTGAACTATTTCAATATTAAAAGTTCTTTTCTCTTTCTCTCGCTCTTTTGTTTCCCTGGAGTTCCTAGATGAATGCAATACCAATGCATATTTTTGCAAGTGAATGACTCACACACATAAATCTAATTGCAAATGGAGCCTGCTGGAAGCTCTTTGTTTTTGTGATGTGGGGGTTGAAGGAGAGTGAAAATGATACAGACTCTGTAATTTGATGATCTTTCTTTTGAGGTTTAACACGGAAGGTGATTTTAAACATCTAGGTGATTTGGAATTTTATCATTAAGTGTCATGGTTTAGACAGAACTAAAACTTGAAAATAAAAATCCCCATTTGTGGGCTATGGAAGTGATACAGGGAGATAGTGGCTGGATGCTGAATTAAAAAGCATCCTTCCTTCTGCTTCATTAGAAAGGGGAAAGAAATAACGCCAAAGCCAAGCTAGCAGGTATCAATCACCAATCTATATTTCAAGGGCACAATCCCTTGATGAAGGCCATTAGCTAAAGAGTAAAAACCTAAGAGATTCTCAGGAATATTACAACCACCTAACTGCAGGTACCTAAGAGACCTTTGGCTGCTAAGAGTCATGTCCCACATTATTTCCACAAACAAGAGAGAATCATAATCTCCAGCTAGGAATCTCCCTGAATCACCCTTTGGACAGACACCTTCTCTATCCAGCAGAAGTAAAAAACCCCTGCAGACTGGTCTCCCAACACAGACATCTACATAGGGAGCCTGTATTTAGGCAATGTTGATCCCCTGTGTGATCTTGGTGCACAAAACTTTTGCTTTCCTTTCCCTAGCTGTTTGCATTCCTCCTTGTAAGAATGGTGGTCACTGGCTACAAACCAATGTATGCTCCTGTATCCAGGGCTACACTGGAAGAAGATGTCAAAAAAGTAAGTTACAAACTTCCCTTTTCTTTCCAATGTTTTCTGACTCATAAACAGTTTTTATCCTTTTCATAAATGTTCAACAGAATATTTAGTCTGGATTTATGTCATGACTTCCTATAGTCCTATCAGAGCACTACACTATGTCTAAAACCAACTTGTTAATTAGAATAGCACTAACTCAAGTCAATGTTGGGAGTAGAACATTTTGCTAGAACCCTCACTAAGTATCTCATGCATTCAGAATGGGTAACATTTGTGTTTGGAGATGAATTATTTGAGTTTGTCCTGGGTTCAGCAGTAGCAGCCATTTTTCTCCTTCTTAGTAGCTGGTGCAGTGCTGTGTTTTTGACTTTCAGCCTGGGAACAGCACTGATAACACTGATGTTTTTAGTTATTGCTCAGTAATGTTTACTCTAACCAAGGACTTTCTGAGTCTCATGCTCTGCCAGGGAGGAGGGGAAGCTGGGAGGAAGCAGAGACAGGACACCTGACCCAAACTGACCAAAGGCGTATTCCATACCACAGCACAGCCCACTGTATAAACTGGGGGCAGTTACCCGGAAGGGCTAGATCACTGCTCGGGTCAGGCTGGGTACCAGTCGGTGGGTGGTGAGCGTTTGTATTCTCTCCCCTTGTTATTTCCCTTATCATTATTATTATTGGCGGTAGCAGCAGTGGTTTGTGTTATACCTTAGTTACTGGACTGCTCTTATCCCAACCCGTGAGAGTTACATTCTTTCAGTTCTCCTCCCCATCCCTCTGGGAGCCGGGGGAGAAAGAAGCGGGGGGTGAGTGAGAGGCTGCATGGTTGTGAGTTGCCAGCTGGGCTTAAGCCACGACAGCATTAAAGATTTTCTTGAGGTAAAAATAAAGCCAAGGGCAGAGCTGCTAACTGAAATCCTTAAAAATATGAGAACATCATACTTCTAGATTAATTAAGACAGTTAGTTAGTAATGCCTCAGCCTTGCCTTTGTTCTTGTCACTGAAAACTCCTTCACCTTAACATTGGTATTCATATTCAATTCTTCGATTCTTCTGGGGAAATAGGTTATTTTGGCATTTTTACAGACTCTATTGCTCAACAATATCTGTTACCCGGGGAGTTTAGGGTATGTATGTGAAAACTTTTTTTTTTTTTTTTTTATTATTTCTTAACCAGTTTGAAATTGGCAAAAGGGGAGCTGTGAAAACAACTATCCTTGGCAGGAAGAATCTGTATGTTTCCAGAACACTTTATGTCTCTCACACACAGAGAAAAAAAGCTAGTAAAAAATCCCTTCCAGCAACAAAAGCCCTCTCAATCCCCACACTACAGCTCTCCCCGCCTTCAACAGGGAGAATCACGACACAATTCTGCCTGGCTGCAAAGTACACAATTGAATAGTCTGCTCTGGCAGGAACAAGCTGGAGGGAAGAAAGAAGAAAAAAACCCCTTATGTTTGGCATCTTGTTTTTGAGGTTAGAGAACATTAGAAAAGTGCTGTTTCCAGCTTTAAACATACTACCACATCTCCAGACAGATCAAAGGAAAAAGAGGTGATCATGACTGCAGCCTAGCAAAGCACCCACCTAAATTCTCTAACTGCTCCCGATACAGAGTCTTTCTTTCCATTTTCAAAATGTTTATGAGATTTTGTGGCCCATCTTGGTATAATCTTTGCAAAAAAGCTCTCTGATATGATGAAAATATTTTTGTTCTGTAGAGTCTAAGCCTCCATTCCACTTCAATAACCACTATATAGTCTGTTTTATTTAGACTAGTGTTATAAAAACTTAAAGGACCTGTGTTTGTGATGAATGAAGAGAAACATGACTAAGCAAAGGCAACTGCTACTGTTTGCCTACTCTTACTGGTCACTGACTGCTACTAGGTAAAAAATTTTGCATAATGTTTCTGTTTTATTGCTTAAATTCAACAGAAAGTACATTATTGACAAAGAGTTAATCTATCATATAGCTCATTCTGTCTCATTTGCAGTGTCACTAGCAGTATATATATATGTCTTTATACATCTATCACATTAATTTTGATAAACTTGCAGCTGCTTGAGGTGAGACCAGCCCTATGAGCTGTGTGCCTGAGTGGTCAGAAACCCAGCTCGGAGATGATCTGTGTAGTGCTTCTGCTAACCTTCCTGCAAGGTGTATGGCAAGAAAGAATCAGAAAAATAACCAGTAGATTTCTACTTTACAGCAGGTTTTCTCTGGATTTGAGCATCTTTTCCATTTGCCTTTGAAGACCCCATGAAACCAAGCTGTGCCCTGAGTTTTTAAGTAAGGAAAAGAAATTCATGACAACAGCAAAACTGTTAATAGATACAAAATTTACCATAAGTTTAATATTGTAACAGCTCCCATTTGTAAATCACCAGGACAATGTGCCACATTTTCAGAGGAAACGTCAGAGGTAAACCTGTGGCCCAAATCATAGCTTGGTGGTGTCTAAGCTGTTGCTGCCATGTTAACCCACACTGTGAAACGTACAGCTAGCTTAGCCAAAATTCTTAGCCATTTCTCAGAATGTGACAATTCTGAGAAAAACAATTCCTTATGAGGGATTTTATAATTATTTTAATTATTTTTTGTACTCTGAATATGAATTTGCAGTGTCCTTAAGTCCTTTAACACTTCTAGTACAGTTTCTAAAACCTCTTGACAGCAATTCAGCTTTACTATGTACTTATTCTGAGTCTCTAATCTTAGAAATTTCAGGTGGATTTATTACCTGCCTAATAAAATCTATCTAGATAGAGTGAGTAAACTTAAGATTAAGAAAGACAAGTCTGAGGAAGGTTCTCAGCCATGTGTTACATGCAGAGCACTCACATTCTTGATCCTTAGCTTAGGAAAACATTTGTGGGTCTGGGAAATTTCCCATAAACCATAAAAACTGAGAAGTAGTCCTTTCAGAAACAGTAATCTGAACAAAAATATTACCTTTCTTAAGGTGCGGTGAATGCTTGGGATTGACAGTCTTCTATTTTATCTTTGTTTATACAGCAGGACACAGTTTTTTCACACATCTCTGATACCTATTCATAATGATGGGAATTGCCTCTGTAAGCCCTTAGATTTCAGCTTTAACATGCTCTAACACAAAGTTAGAGCAAGGGGATATTCTCTGCCATGCACAACCCTGATTACCACAGGGGTGCTTGTTTTCATGCTCATGATACCATAACACATTTCTGGATGACCCCTTTGATGGACCTGCATGAAATCAGGGAAGCCACAAACACTTGGATGCCCATGCTGGAGATAAGCTGCATATTTGTCACGATACCAACTTTATGAAGATATTTTAGGTAGGAACAGTGTTCAGAGGCAAGACAAAAATAAGTCAAATGAGGTGTTTGGTCACTTACTCCTTGGATATTTTGTCATTGTTTCCACTTCTTTTACACATATCTTTTCCCTTCTTGAAATCTCACCTTCATGGACAGAGAAGCAAAAGCATCTGTTTCTTTTTGTCAGCTTCAGATTCTCAATTGAAGGACATAACTGAAACTAAAAGCCATGGCAGCCAATCAAGACAGGTTGTTTCTAAACTGAACCCAAATACACTACTGATTTATGTTAAATATATAGCAATATGCCTCAGGACATTCATTTCCATCCCTGTACAATTTGGCATTTTTAATACTGTAGAGCCAAACCAATGTAGGACAGAGTGGCAGCACCACATCTTTGCCACTGGGGCTTACACTTCTTTGCTTCCTTAGGGTACAGAGAAAGGCATTCAGCCTGAAAGTCTGTCTTTGTTTTGTATATAAGTAAACATCGTCTCAAAAAAAAATGTGTAAATCAACAAGGTATGATTGGCTGCCAGAAGAAATACAAGACTTTGCCTGGTGTATTTACTGATAAATAACTGACTGGTGATAATGCCAACCAGACATCCACACCCAGGATGAGCGGGTGTCAGAGCTGACAGTGAAATGTATGGTTATGCCTCAGCAATTGTACAACCTTGTATCCTCACTTGCTATGCATTGTTTTCAGTATAATCAGTCTTGTTGAGTGGAAAAAGGCAGGTGCTGGTAGTACCTCAAAAAAAAATCTATTTCTGGATCAACTTTGCATCAAACAAACATACTTGGAGTTAATACTAAAGAAAAGCTATTTGCATGTGGTTTTAAATTCCCTTTTGAAAATAATGCACAGCTGTAACAATCGTGGGATATCACTCCTGTTCATAAGGCTTTAAAGCAGTGTTCACGCTGATTCCTACTATAATCTTACAAAAATTATAAAAAGAGAAAATAGATTAGGTTTCATTTATATATTACACGTATTTACACTGCTTTACAAATATCTCTTACAAATGGAAAGCTAATAAAAGCTGGCTTTTTTTATGAAGCGTTAGAGCAAAGAGAAGCAGAGAAAAGAAGCGATTCATGGGTCCACTTTGAAACATGTTTATCCCCTCTTTGCGGCTATCTGCTTCTAGTGAGTTTATCGCTGAACAAAAAGGCAAGCCACAGCTCCCTCTGGAGCTCATCAGCAAGCAAAGGTCACAGGAGAACAGGCTGAACATCCTTCTCCTCCCTTCTCCAGAATACCAAGCAGACTTCCAGACTGACCTCAGTGCCTCTTCCGTCAGCATACCTTCTTGTCGCTCGTTTCATAGCCAGCTAGCAGTTTACATATGTTTTAAAACAGAGACCATCTTCTTGCATGCACCTATTTTATTGCATCAGGCTGAATCCTGCCGACTCTGTGTCACATAAATCACCACACTGACACTGGGACTTTGCAAACTGGATCTCAAAGTTAGTAGATAACTATTTCTCCATTTCAGTAATTCCTGCAGGCAGGATTTACAGCCAACACACACTGCACAATATAACTCACGCTTATTCTTCCAGCTCCACTTGCTCTTCCCTTCCCTTTTCTTTTTCCTTCCCAGTACCGTGAGGACTTTATTTGCATGAGAGCTAGGAGCAAACTAATTGGAAATGTGAACACTGGGTTTCAAAGGCAGCTTTTTGCTAAGCAATGT